AAGCCAGGACCCGAGTACGTAGACGCCTCACGATTGAGCGGTGGCGATTTTCGCTTCAGTAGCGGGATCCGCCGAGCCGAAGCCGTACTCCACACGAGGGCCTAGGACCGAACGTGGATACGAGCGCATGAAAGACGCCCTGTGGGTAGCCCCCAATTGCTGCTTCTGTGCGTCGTCGAGGCGATTGGCAATAATACCATTTTCCTTGGAAGTCGAGAGGTCGGGGAACGGACGCGGTGTCTGCAAGGTTTGAACTGGTCTCACGTCGCGCCGTTGGCGCACCTCGCCCTCCTCGTCTTCCAATGTTGAAAAGAAGTATCTGACTCGCAGTCGACTTCCTCCGTATCATCGACGAGGAAGTACGTCGCCCTTGGAAGGCACGGTGTGTGGCGCCCGGTTGCCGAGAGCTTAGGATGTGCTTCCCGTGAGCCGCGGACGTACTGTCCGAAGATGCACCTTGCGCTGAAGAAGAAGGGCTCTGCCCACGGGCGCCCTCGAACCCAGCTAGGCTGGGTGTTTTGTGTGTCATAGACACAGAGCTCATAGAGTGGAGAATGTATAAGGTTGTTCATAAGAACGTAACGGTGTCTCAGCAACGCGAGTTTCGTATGAGGCGACCGTTCAATGTGAATTGAGGATATCAACAACTTTAATGGGGGAGAGTGTAACTACCTTGTATGAAAGGGGGGGGTCGCACATGATGGTGTGACCTTACATAGTTGTGGATTACACAAGTTGGTGTAATCACACAGTGGTGTGGCTACACCGTAACAAGAAGCCACGTGGCAGGATCGCCAGTAGTAATGCATATTAATCAGGTATCACTATAATAATTAGCAAAACGTAAGGTTTAAGATATTGGCGGTTCTGCCGGAACTAAGACAATTCTAATCTTGAACGGAAGAGCTCATTTATCTTGGCTTAGGTTTTGAAGGACTCCTGGAGGTAGCGGATTGCGATCCGCTACACTCGTACTGGTTCTTGTAAAGATCGTAAAGTCGGTGACCTGAGCTTCGCTTTCTCTAAGCAAAGAGCTCTGGCAGCCCCGCTGCAGTTTACATTTTAAACGGAAGAGCTAATTAGCCTTGGGTTAAGATTGTAATTACGCTTGGAGTAAGCGGATTGCGATCCGCTACACGTGTAGGAATAGAACGAAGGTCGCCGACATTAACTAAGCTTCCTCAAAGCGAACGAGCTACGACAGCCCCACTGCACACTCGGTGTTCGTTAAGCGCTCACATTTGCGCAATATCCTCAAAATACAAAACATGTGTAAGCCACAATATGGCCCACAACTTGTTGTGTGTGGAGGTGTAACGGGGTATGTTTTGTACAACTGTATACGTCTACAACACACTACTAAGCAATACCAAAGTACTGATACTGAGGAGGAAGATGGGACCCGCTTTAAACAGGTCTGTGGAAGACATTGGCTGTTAGCCTCGCAACTATATTTTATTATAGAGCATAGTAGAGCATATACATCAGGCAAAAGTTATATTCCGTGATATACGCGACTCATAAAAGCAATTTAGGCGACTAGTTACCCATAAGGCTCTCGCCTCCGCTCCTTGGGCGGATAATACAAACCTATCCTCTACTACGGATTTTTTGAGTCAACGCTATCTTTGTGCAAGGTGCACGGCAATCCCTTTACAAGGATTGTGAGAGAAAAGCATAAAGTGTGCCGCGACCTCATCGCAAGGGGTGACTACAGGTGCTCAGAATTATCGAGAAATTTGATCGTTAGTCGAAACGTTACTTGTAAGCAATCCAGAATTTCTGGCCGGAACGAGTACTCATGATAGCTTAAGTTCAAAGCATCTGCAATGAATTGAAAGTTTTCAATGGTGATACCTAGGCTTTTAGCTGTCAGAGGGAGTTGGCGTTGCGTTGATTCGGCACACTAGT